AGCAATTCCCGAACCGAATATCGCCGGAACTGCCGGAAGAGCCCATAGCGACCATTATAGAGGAACCGCTGTCGATGCACACGCTGTGCGTCAAGAAACCGAAGAAGAAATCCGTGTGGGATCCTTCGAGTTTGGTGATAGACGCGTTGAAGTTCCACGCCGACATGGGCGACGTGCAATCAGCGGCGTGCATACTCATCGTGATAGGGGAGAACAGGAAAAAACTCGAAGGTTTGAAGAAGCACGTGCAGGAAGTTTGGCTGTTGGGCTACATAGAGCAACTCAACCGGTACAAGCTGTGGAACGAAGCGGCGCGAGTGATTAAGTTGGCGTGGTTGCCGTCTGTGTACTCCCTTAATCAGCAAAGCACGAGGATAAACACGAACTGCACCAAGTGCTCGAAACCCCTGCAAAGAACTGGGTGGCTGTGCGACAGGTGTCACTCCTCTGAACCGGCTCTATGTTGCATTTGTCACCAAGTTTCCAAAGGGTTGTACTCTTGGTGCCAAGGCTGTTCGCATGGGGGCCACGTTGCGCATTTGAAACAGTGGTTTGCCACCAACAAGAAATGTCCCACTGGTTGTGGACACTCCTGCGAGTTTGGCTGATATTTTTTATATCGCTTTGACCGAACATCGTATACTGTATATATATCACGAAAGATTTAATTTATTAAAAAGTTATATTATGCCCAGGCTTTTACTTGCTTCTCCTTTCAGATATTTTCAATAAATGACCTTTTACCCCACCACCGTGCTTTTGTTTCAAATGTACTCCATCGACAGACAGTTTCGGTCTTTCGGACCTCACAGTGCCGGGAGGTGAGCCCAAGGTAACACTGTGCAACACCAAAAATCAAACCGCACCAGACTATTTTTTTTTCTGAAAATATACCTATCCAATAGCAAAACCCTCGCTGGGTTTGTAAAAGTTATGACCGTTAGTATTTTCGAGCTTCATATACCCCAATTTAGAGTTATAAATCATTTTTTCGCATATATTCGATTTATATGGTTAAGATTTTTTGTAGAAATGTAGCTACTGAACAAATAAACCCATTTTGTGATCAACCTATATCAAAACCCAATTTTTGGGACCAAATATTCGAAAAATTGCATTTTTTTCTTCAATTTTTTATAATATTCAAAATTTCTGGCTACTTCTTCTGACAAAAAAGTTGTAAAATGCAATAGAAGTAATTTATAAAATACGCACACTAAACTGATTTTTAAGTTTGCTTATTTGCTGGACAACAATGTTTGAACAAGATTTTCCAAAATTTTCATCTTTTCACACTCAACACCAAAATTTTTGCCGAAATCTTTGTAAAATCTGTAGGAAAAAATTGAATAGATAGTATAGAATTGTAGAAAAGTACAGAGATTGATTTTTTTGTATTAGTTTTATTATCAACAAACTTTTTCATATCAAAACATTGAGTCATCTGATTCATTCCTAGAGATATGACGATACATCGTCAAGATTTTTTGTAGAAATGTAGTTACTTAACAAATAAACCCATTTTGTGAACAACCTACATATAGGTACCCCAAAACCCAATTTTTGGAAACAAATATTCGAAAAATTACATTTTTTTCGATTTTTCGATAATATTCTTCTTCTGGCAAAAATGTTGTAAAATCATATGATTTTATTTTACAACATTTTTGCCAGAAGAAGTATACTTTTATTATAATTTATAAAATACGCACACTAAACTAAACTTAAGTTTGTTTATTTGCAGGAAAACAATGTTTGAACAAGATTTTTAAAAATACTCATCTTTTATATAAATCGAATATATGCGAAAAAAGTCTAAATTGGGGCATATAAAGCTTGAAAATACAAAAGGCCATAAAAAATTTAGCTAACTATTACAAACCCAGCAAGGGTTTTGCTATTGGATATATACAATACTCAGGTATATTTCCAGAAAAAAATAGTCTGGTGAGGTTTTATTTCGATGACCCGAAAATTGTCACAGTGCAATTAATCAGCTCCATCTACCGTCTAACGAACGTAGTGTTTGAAGAACTCTGAAATTGTCAAAATAAAAAAAGGGTTCTCTAATACTTGGAACCTGGACTCAAATATATTAAGAATAGAGTAATTGCATCAAAAATGAAAATCCCTAAAAACCTTTTTAATGTAATCTAGAGGTAAAAACACATTGCGAAAATATTTTTTTATATTCCAAAAGTTCAACCCTGCCCCAAAATATCACATTGAAAAAAGGTACTTTTCAAACGTTCCCGAACTCCCGCCATATTGCATGACGTCAAAAACCTACACCAGTGTCAGAAATCAAGATGTCAACAAATAATAAACACCGATAAAGTTTAACATGTTTAACATGAAAAACGCAAAAACAAAAATTGGTTGTAAATATTGTTTTGTGCCTTGTTGTACAAATACAACCTGGAAAACTCCTGGAAAAGTTGTCCCTTCAATTATCAAAAGCAAAGTTTATGACCCTACACTGAGCGCCGTTACGGCTCAGCCGTATTTTCTTGAGTTTATTATTATTTAACATACCTATTCCAACCATATACCTAGTAAACGACATTATATTTTACTTTCATTAAAATGATCCTCGCAGCAATAAAATGTTGACTGCGGTGACAATGTTTTGATATCGCGCCGAGCTATTTTAATCCACTTTATCCTTATTTTCCCTTTTGGCACGGTGATAAACCTTTTCCCAGGAGTTTTCCAGGTTGTATTTGTACAACAAGGCACAAAACAATATTTACAACCAATTTTTGTTTTCGCGTTTTCCATGTTTAACATAAACTTTATCGGTGTTTATTATTTAAATACAATTCGCCACCTGAGAATTAGATTGTTCTATCTCCCAAAATTTAAAGAGGAACAAATAGCAGTTTAAAGTTTAATTTATATACAAATGAAATTTTAAAAAGCTGTTTTTCCGTGTCAGATTTTTGAAAGATAGAATCTCCCAAAACTTAAAAACGGAAAAACAGCTTTTTAAAATTTCATTTGTATATAAATTAAACTTTAAACTGCTATTTGTTCCTCTTTCAATTTTGGGAGATAGAACAATCTAATTCTCAGGTGGCGAATTGTTGACATCTTGATTTCTGACACTGGTGTAGGTTTATGAGGTCATGCAATATGGCGGGAGTTCGGGAACGTTTGAAAAGTACCTTTTTTTCAATTTGATATTTTGGGGCCGGGTTGAACTTTTGGAATATAAAAAAATATTTTCGCAATGTGTTTTTACCTCTAGATTACATTAAAAAGGTTTTTAGGGATTTTCATTTTTGATGCAATTACTCTATTCGTGACTTCACAAAATATATAAAACAATTATTGGTTTTTGTAGTAGGTACTTAATAATACTCAAATATTCCTATAAAATATATAATAAATATATATGTACATGTAACTCAAGGTACCTGTCTTCCGTTGTCTTACAGAATCAGCAAAGCGCTAATACAGTAGAGGAGTGCAATACAAGGGAAGAATGTATGAAATCAGTTACACTACCTGTGCAGTTGAAATCAATGTACCAGTCTCCCGAACGAACCAAAGGTAGGGTTAAGTGGACAGTAGCAACAAAAGATAAGTTCAATAGCTTCAATCCGCAAGATTTAACATGCATTCCCTACTAAAAAAGTTATCTTGCAATTTCTCGAAGAGGTTTTAACGCTTAAAAGCGTGTTCAACGCACCAAAACAAAACAGCCAAACAAGAAAAAGAGAATTCCCACAGGACAGAAAACGCAATATAAATCTGTACAAAACATAAACAAGATTTATTATCTATTACCAAAACTAAACGAACAGCCGTGATACGCAATAGACGTTAACATAAACAAAAAGTCAAATGCAGTCACCTAGACAACAACAATAAACATGCCAACACACATCTAAGTCTTTACTGATATAAAGCTAAGGCTTACGCACAGTGGGACAAATAATTTGTAACTACTTACTTTACTTAACACACAATGTTCGCATATTTCGTTATAAACAAAAAACTATCGATAACTATCGGTAGCGATGGCCAACCTTCCAGCACAGTAATTTTCAGTAGACACGGGCGCAAACCTAGTATTGTAACAATTTTCTTTTTCGTAAAAGAAACAAAAGTATATTTGGTCACTCTTCGCTAGGTATAAATCATAAGAAAAGTTTAAAAAAAATACTATATTGTGAATAAAACTTTTATTTTATTTGCCTTGGCAGTACAAATACGACGATAAAAAAAAGTTAGCCAAAATAGTACTTCTTGTTTATAAAAACTTTGTTGTATACCTTTCACAATAATGTCCCTATTGTAACAATTACTGCATTATAAAAAACGAAACTTAGTTTAAGCAACAATAAGAAATAAAAATAACAATCAAGTGCCGAATTTTGTGATTAGTGATGTTTCACCAAGTCTGTGAGTATTTGTTTTGATTTATAACTAAATAATTTTTTTTTGGTCTATTTTAAATGATCGAAATTAAAACAAAATTATTAACAATAAATACTTAAAACTATGTTTTACATTGGCTTATTTATTCAATGTAACACATCCAATATTCGTCCTGAGGGAAAGATTTTATACATGTAGGTCAAAAGTCAATGAAATATCTGCAAATGATATATTTAAAAGTGTGGTTTCAGTATTAAAGCTTATTGGTTATGCCAGAAGTGTATTGGAGTGTCAAGTTGAAATACTTACTAATATTCTTATAATAAAATAAAAAACTATAAAATTATACATATATATCTAAATCATTATACAATTATTTAAGAAAGAAAATCAGACATCAAGAAACACAAGGTGGTTCTGTAAAGAATAACTGGCAAAATAGATAAACAAATTTGATTTTTTTTCATAAAAAAGATTCAAAAACAACCCAATAAATGCAAAACATTTTTATTTGTATTGTAATGCAAATATAGGTTTACCAAAAAATTTGCAACATAGATTTTAAGCCAGAAATGTAAAGCTTACTTAAAAAACATTTATTAAAACATTAATTTTTAAAGAATTACACATTTAAGCTTTTTCTTCTTGTTCTTATCCTTCCCTCTGCCGTTGTTTGTTTTGTTTTCCTCCATTTTTCTTGCCCTTATTTCCCGCATTAAATCGTAAAACACCTGAGCAAAAACAAATTATTTTCAAATTGTAAAGAAATACCTAATTAGCATATTTATTATCTAAAGTAAACAATAAATTTTAATTAAAACCGCACATTTGGTAGCCAGTGTTGCCAACATGGTCGATTTAAAAATCCCAAGAATTTCCTAGTTTAAAGTCTCGTGTTGTCTGGTAGCTCTATGAAAAAGTATTTGAAATATAAGTGACTTCTTGACCCAGGAGAGGCAAAATCGGACTCCCAGTGTAGAAACAGACTGGTATTAATGAAGAATTTGTTAAAATATATGGATTGGATGATTGAAGATTAAAGATAATTAGAAAATTCTGTATATGAAGCCATGTGTACATAGTTAAACAAAAAGATGACATGGTTCTATAAAAATTAATAAATATTTAAGAATACCCATATAAATGATTCAAGGGATAGGTTAATCTCAGATTCTTTTAAATAAGACCCTTGATCATAATAAAGAAAATTTTAAAATAGAGCTGGCTAAATCCTGGAAGGGAAAGGAAAAGGCCAAAACAGTCAGAAGAATTGTATTTAAAGGATAGTGATAGAAATTGGACATAAATTTACATACAAATCTACTAAATGTGGAAACAAATAAAGTGATAGTGGTGAAAATGAATGAATCCAGGGATGGTTAAATTCCCTTATTTGAGACCATTGATCATACAATTTTTTTTTAAACACAATGAGCTGGCCAAAAGGCTTTCAAGTAAGCTAAAGGCCATTACCCTTAAACATAGTGTTAAGATTGATCAGGAGCAAGAACAATAATTGTACAAAATTAATATACTATATTAATATTATAAAAATAAACGACGAAACGAATAAAACAAAATCTTAAAATTTTGTTAAACATTTCTAAAACTAGGGGAAAAAAGCTGGCATCACTGACTTCAGCAATATTTAAAAATATGCTTGTCATTATCAACAAACAAATTAGACAAGGCTGACCTTTATACAATACACGGTGCTGTTCTGAGAGGTGATTTTTGGACTTTCTGTGAAACCTAATTTTTTTTTATATTCTTGTTAATTAGGTCATAAATAAAATTTTAAGAGCAAAATAAAAAAAATTTGACGGTTAATTTTGTTTTAATTGGATGTTTATTAAACAATAATTCTAAGGGTGCCACATGCAGCACCGTGAATATTAAGTAATAAATAACAAAGGATTATATGTATTGTTTTTATTTGATATTTTATTTGACAACTGTCAAGCAGTTTTAACCTCACTTATCTAACATCAGAATGGTTTAACCTCACTTTTTCAAAAGCTGATATCTGTCAAATGGTTTTAATCTCGCTTATTTCCAAGTAAATTATTACCTAGTGAATTAAATGTAGGAGTTGATAAAATAATTTCTTAAATTTTGTAAAATAGGCAAAATATAAATAAAATATTTTAAATTTTGGCATTCTTAATTTTCCAAGTAAAAACTATATAACGTTTACATACCTTATCAACGTGTTCTCTTGTCTTAGCAGATGTTTCAACATAAGGAACCCCCCATTTGTTAGCCCGATCACTGGCTTCTTGGAATGTAACTTTTCTTTTATCTTGAAGATCACTTTTATTCCCTACTAATAAGAACGGTATATTTTCGTCGTTTTTAACCCTCAATATTTGCTCTCTAAAAAATAAAAACATACCACAAATGTTTATTACAAATAAGATAGACCACCAACCTGAATTCCTGTGTGGCTTGAAAACTCTCATCTTCTGTTATGGAGAATATACACAGAAACCCTTCGCCACTTCTGAAGTAATTATCCCTGATAGCGGCATAGTCCTCCTGCCCGGCAGTATCTAAAATATCAATTTGAACGTCCTCTCCATCAAGCAGCACTTTCTTCCTGTACGAGTCAGCCTTTGTGGGTTCATAGTTCTCGACAAACTCATCATACATGAATTGCAATGTCAGGGCTGATTTTCCCACACCACCACTTCCAACCATGATAACTTTATGTAAAGCTGTTTGCACCGCTGGTTTTTTAGCCATGGTTTTGGTTTATTCTACAAATTTCAATAGGCGTGTCCAATTTGAGGTTTTTAAGTCAACGACCTAAATTTTTTTTGAAGTTTTGAACACAAAACTTACCTATTTGTCCTGTTACGATATAATGTAAAAATTACTTGTTGGATGTTTACTTTGTGCTAAAAAATCTAGTCACTAAAAACAATTGAATCACTGTTTCCAGCTACGCCTTGTTCTGTAACCTACTTCACGTTGTTTAGGTTATTTTATGAGTCACTTCTTGTATTGTTTTGCGCGATTTTTATCACCTCCACCCGATTTTCTCTCACGATAACGTTTGATGCGGAAATACATAATTTACCTACTTACACGATAAGAGTCGTTTAGGAATTGCTTTTTACATTCATGCCTAGGTATCTTAAAATTTTCTTCAACCACTACATTATAAAAAAAAATTAAGAAGACACATAAAAAATAACAATACAACATAAAAAACAACTTTAAACTAAAAATTAACGTGGTAAATTAGTAATGCAATTTATCATGTTCAAAATTAATAATTTTGGAAATTATCGATTTTAAATTCAAGGTTGGCAATGCCACGAAGTACGCGTATCATTAAATCGGCGTTGCCGCTTCCACTGTTCCCTCGCAGTTTCGGTGATTTGTTTTGCCGCACGCATCAAATCGCTTGCGGGTTGGGAATCCCAGATCAAGCAAACTAGGCAACACTGTGCGTAAACTGTCAGTTTCTTCTTCAATGCATACGATATTTGTTTTTGGTTATTGTTAAATTGATTTTTATAGTATTTAATTTAAGAAATTACATAATGTTTTGCTATTTTTACAACTATAGTGGTCTCTGATGTAAATAGGTTGCATAAAAAGTAAGTGTCTACTTTTAATTAAGTAATTTAAGTGGTAATCCCATGCCCTTTCCTTTATGTAATTTATAACAATTATTAACAATTTAAAACCCTAATTTTAAATTGTTAACATTATGAAAAAGAAAAATTAATAGTTAAAACATTAAAAAAAGGGCTTATTTTAATACCTGTTTGAATTCAAGTAATAGATAATTATCAAGTAAGTACCTACTTATATTAAGTAATTTAAGTTACCTAGCTCCATTTGATAAATATTTAATAAATAACAATAGGCCCACAGAACATAAGGCCGTGGCACTATATTCAGTGGTGCCAGTGTAGTAAAAATAAAACGGTTTATCATAAAAACTAAAAACAACCAAATAGTATAATATTATAATAAGGATGAGGTTTGCATCTAGAGTCGTCATCCTAGAGACGTAAATCATCCGAGTAAAGCGCATTATTTTGAGTGTAATACAATTTACCGATTTTAAGATCATTATAGTCGCCCCTCGTATATATAAACAAATCTGACATCCGTTAACCTTACTTTTTCCCAATTTAAAACCCGATTGGTTCAAATAACAGTAAAAATTGAAATCGACCAATCACTGATGCCTAACAACGTGAATAATGAGTTCAATATTCCCGTTATTAGGCCGGGCGGTTATATTGGTTACAATTATTTACGAAAAACCCAAATAATGTCAATAATATGCAATAGGAGTAAAAAAAATATATTATTATACCGTATAAATTATACGAGAGATAATGCGCATTATCTCGAGTGTATTGTGGATTCACATTACTATAGTAGATATATCTACTTCTCCCAATTTAATTGGTTAAAATCACAGTGAATATTGATATGAATTGATATAGGAGTATGAATCACTTATTTTTGTTAGATTTGTTAGTTACAATCATGTTTTTTTAACCCGTAAATTTTTACTGGAAATAAACTATATGTATATACAGGATGATTCACCAAACTTATTTATTAGAAGTTTACAGAGAACGGAAAAAGTTAAATTTGTATAGCAATTATAAGGCAATGTAATCTATTTTATTAAATTATTTTTAATGCGTTATCACTTCCGGTTAAACCGGAAGTGATACCAACTTTGATTTTTTAAATGGAACCATTAAAATATTATTGCATTTTTAAATCTTAAGTAAAATTATAGAAATATTAAAATTTAATTATTTTTTATTTTAAACAGTTTTTAAGGTTTTTGATTTTTTTCAAAAATTACGATTAGTTGTAATGTTAATTTATGGTGTACCTATTAACTATAGTTATAAGGAGCACTTCATCAAAAGTCATTAATAGTATTAGAAAATTTTATACAGGGTGTCTGGTATTTACGTTGACTTTTTTGTCTCTTTGACATTACTTCATAAAAATCTCAGGTTTTTTGGTCTTATTCTTTTTTCTAAAAGAATGTCCAAATCGGAATCGTCAAGTTTCTGCTGACATTGGATATTCAGATTAATCAGAAGAATACATTTTTATAATACTTTTTACAATATTTTTACAATAGAAAATAACCTCAAAACAAACACACAAGTTCACAACTAAAGTTGTAAATCAAGGCTATTAATTTGTATTATGCGCATATGTGCCAACAATCTGCTGGAAGATAATCCTCAAACTGTTCGGACTGTCGACAAACTGTCAGGAAACGATGTGGAAACAACCGACTAGTGGTTTGAAATCAGTTGCAAACCAATGTGCGAACACAAAAAACCTTATGCGCACACTCCAAACGTCACAAACAAGTTTCAAACCAATGTGAAAACAAACCTAAGAAAGTTGTTGATATCAAATTTAAAGTGACAAAAAAGTAAACGTAAATACCAGACACCCTGTATAAAATTTTCTAATCCCATTAATGGCTTTCAATAAAGTGCTTCTTATAAGTGCTTCTTATAAGAAGAATATATTTAACAGGAATACCAAAAATTAATTAGTGGTAGGTAATACAGACATATTATCTGTCAAAATTTAAAAAAAAATTAAATATCTCAAAAACTGTTAAAAATACAAAATATAATAAAATTTTAGTTTTTCTAGAATTTTACGTAGAATTTAAAAATGCAATAATTTTTACAAGTATGGTTCCATTTGAAAGACCAAAGTTGATATGACTTCTGGTTTAACTGGAACGCATGAAAAATAATTTTTAAAAATAGTTTACATTGCTTTACATTGCCTTATAATTGCTATGCAAATTTCAAATCGATATCTATTTTCCCTTCTCCGTAAACTTTTAATTTAGTTAGATGAATCACCCTGTATATATTAAATAAATATAAATATAAAGTTAATTTTTTTTATCTGGGCTGCGGCAACGTTGCAAATTTAGGGGTTTGGTTGGTAAATACGGAACCAAAATTGGTTGCATTGATTAAAACTAAACTAGTTATAAATGTAATTATAATGTAATTGTGGTTATGTTTAAATTATCGAAGTGGCTATTTATACGTCCGACGTATACAAAATTTGGTATACGTCTTGAGCTTTCATTGTTGAGTTTGGGTTGGTTTCGCTCACTGTCAATCAACTTAAATGGGCAAAAGTGAGCGAAACCAACCCAAACCAACCCAAACTCAACAACCCAACCCAACCGACCCCGCCCCATTGGGCCCCCCGCCCCATAGAGGAATAGAGGCCTATTTTGTAGGAAGAAGTTTTTGCCTCATATTTAGCCATTTTTATACTTATTTATCAAATACTTAATTTTGCTTACATAATTTTTGTAAATTACTTCATTTTTATATATTTTTAACGTTATTATTATAAAATTCAGCAGTTTGACCCAAGCAGCATTTTTGGTTCCAAAAACCATTGCCGAAGTGGTGATAACTTTAAATTAGTTAAGTATACTAAACAGCTACTTTAATTTTTACTTAAAAGTAATTCTAACTTTTAAATAGCAATATTTTGTAACAGAAACTTAATTTTTCCTTAAATGGTTACTATAAAGTAATAAACATTTAAGTAAAACTTGGTTGCCCCCAAGAAGACTTTGCAACTTTAAAAAAGGTGTTATAAGTAAAAAAAACTTTCAGGTAAATTTAATGTGTAGCAGTTACTTTCGGTTGCTACCTAAAGATCACATTATAATTATTTTTACTTTGTAGTCCCTTTGCAAGTTAAAATCACGAAACTGGAACATGAGTTAAAAACTACAAAGTTAATATCTCAAAAGTTATTATTTTAGTATTTGGAACGTTTATGGTACTAACCAAAACAACCGTAAAGTGGAAAAAAAACTTTAAAGTAGCGAAAACTACTTCAAAGGAAAATGCTTCTTATCGGCCATTTTTTACTGTACAGTACCAAGTGGTAATGTAAATAATAAATTATTTTAATTGTTTGTAAATAACAATTAATTTTGTTGGTAATAGACGGTATTAATAATTAAATAAAAAATTAATAATAAATATTAAGATTTTTTTATTTATAAACATTATTAAATAAATAATTTGTTTATACTTAAATATTGATGAAGCGCATTTATTTTACAAAAACTAAATTCATAAGTTCAACAGTAAAATTTAAAGGGTTTATAAATTTACCTGCCTTATTAAACATTATATTGTTATTCTGGAAGTTATAAACTAACAGTACATATTTAATAAACGACGACATTGAAAAGCCAAGTCCGTAGTGGTTCCATTTAAAAAAGGAGGGATAGTATAAGCTAATATAAGTTTGACAAAGACAGTTAATATAGAAGTAAAAACAAATAAATAAAAGTAATTATAACGCTTTAGCAACGATATTGGAACGTTCTAGTAACGTAGCAGCTACGTTCCAAATAGTAGCAGGGTTTATAGCTAGTGACATATTTGTTACCTTTTTGGAACTCAATAATTGTTCCCCACTTTAGTCGTAACTTAGTAATGAAAGAGTAATATAAAGAGACCGGCGACTGTCGCAAAACACTTTAAAGTTTCTTCAATAGTCCCATATACGTAACAAATACTTAAATTGTTGCTTGGGGAATATCTGACAATTTTCATTTTGAAGTTTATAGGTTAGATTAACTTTTTCAAACTAGCCAATGAAAGCACAAGACGTATACCAAATTTTGTATACGTCGGACGTATAAATAGCCAGTTTGTTAAATTATTGTAGGTTACATTGAACGGTTGTCACGTTGAGTCAAGTTGAGTTGTCAAAATTCGTAGTTAAAAATGCAATTAATTTGGCTTTGGTGGTGCTTAGATGAGTAAAATCACATAAAAAAAGTAGTTAAATATAGGTGACTAAGGCCCAGGAGAGACAAAGTATTACTTTGAAAAGATTTTTATATAAGAAATTAAAATTTTATGTGAACACACGTGAATGTTGTCCAATCATTGGACCCCAATGGTGAATGGGTATTTTGTTAAAGCCACTGGACGTTAATACTTGTAGTAGCTTGATAAAAATTATAATGTATATACCCAGCTAGCACAAGTCTGTCCTAAGGACGTCCTAAGGAAAGCCTTACAGGATATTGGGATATCCCAAGGATATCCTAGGACGTCCTCAGACCTCCTCAGGACATCCCAACCATGGCCGAGTGGTGCAAAAAAGGCCAGCCTACAGACGTCCCGCAAATGGCCTTTAGGATATCCTAGGGATATCCCTAGGTCCATATAGGTCCAGGAATAGGACATCCTAAGGATGTCCCCTGAAAGTCCCATGGGTATATGTAGGTCCAGGAATGGGATGTCCTGAGGACATCCTCTGAATGGCCTTGTTATTTGTTGGGGATACATTTTAAACAATCAAATGCCATTTTATTACTTTATAAAATATATTATTTTAATTCTGTATACATATATATAATTTTACACAGCCAATTATATAAAATTAAAAATAAACACCTATTATAAAAGTAAAATAAATAATATTTCTAAATAAATATAATAGTTATATTATTTATATATACACAGTGTCCAAAGTTATCTGCTCACCATTTTAACTCCATTATTATTGCAGCTACAAAGTCGGTTAAATTAGCGAATTAGTGGCATTTTTTTTTCTGATTAAAATGGTTAAGACAGAATAACAATTGAACATCAGGTTACAAAAAATTATTATAGAAACTACACTAAACTTAAAAATAAACAATTAATAAGCACTGGAACTTTCTGATTGTTGTTGAAATATCCAACACTATAATAATATTATATTATAACAAACACACTTGGAGAACACGAGATTCACGGCCTTAAACCAGGTTCACGACACAGAAAAAGAATTCACGGCGCAGACAAAGAATTCCTTTCACAGTGTTATCTATGATTCTTTCTAACAAAAAGGCGTCAAACAACTAAAGGACGCTATACGTCATCTTAGCTTTCTCTCCATCCAGTGTTACCACCATAGACAATAGTTACCACCATAACGTATGGTTAAGGTTAACTGACGCTTACTACCTTATTTATTATTTATAAAACTCTAAATGTATCAATACCTTACAAACAAGGTGTTTGAACAATTATTAATTACCAGTCGTCATTTCTGCGCATGCGTATTAAGTTGGCTGCTATCCAGTTGTATACAAAATATATTTTGTGGTCATATAACAAATACACAAAATATAATATTGTTTTTAAACTCCCGCCTTTAAAACGCCGATTATCGTACATGTTTCCATGATATTTTAAATAAACATTGACAAGTTGTGGCTTTATGACGTTTTAGTCACGGGCTGAAGTTGGCAGCAATGGCATTCGGACATTTTAGTCATGGGTTGAAGTTAATTGCAGTTGTCAACTGCGAAACAATGACCATTAAAATAAAGGGTCTAAAAAGTGAGGTTAGAATAGACTGGTCGATGTCAGATTTTATAAATAATTATTTATATATAATTGTTGAAAGCTATTTAATTTTTGTGATTGTCGTAGAAAAAATATAGTATGCAAGTCGTTTATAAGCTTAAAAAAATCTGTATAATATAATATTATAATTATATTGATTGACATTTTTGAGATGTGCCGATGCAAAATAAGTTATGTAAAAAAATGTAGGTATTATTAATTATATAGATAAAATATTCTTATAGAAAAATGTGCATACCAAATGTTTACCAAAACCTAACGGGACATTCTGAGGATGTCTCTGGGATTAGTCCTATGATCAGCCCATTTTAGGCTTTAATTAGGATATTATTAGGTCCTAACGCCATCCTTAAATGACGTTCCTAGGATATCCCAAAATGGGACCTAAAAAAGATCTAATGTCCGATAAGGTCAACCTATGGACGTCCTCAGGAAGTCCTTATAGGATCATCCCATTCTGGGACATTTAGGCTGGTCCAAGGACGTCCTGAGGATGTTTGTGCTTGCTGGGTATTGTCCAGGACTATTAATTATCAGTAACTTGTAAATAGAAAGAAGAAAAAGTTTCGTGATTATTGCTTAAGACAATTGTCTTATTTTTTAAAATTTCAAAAATTTTTGATCTGCTTAGCTGAAAATAATTTGTGATTTAATATTTGTAAAACCAAAAAACGTTACTTTTTTATTCCAAAAATGTCCATAAGGCGATATACTTCATCGAAATGAAGTTTTGCCCTTAAAAGTTTTTTTACTACTGGAATCTGATATTATTTTTGGTATAGTTATCTTTTTATAACGATATAATATAATATTATATAATAATAATTATTAACAAGTAAATTATCAATAATAAATATTACTGCCAATTTGACAGATTATAATAATTATTAAGGTCTTCAGCAGTACCATTTTTTAAATACTAAAAATACTGAATCAAACTGGCACACGCTACCAACTTAATAAAAAACACGAGTCCAAATAAAAAAAAATGAACTGTATATATTTAATAATTTTTTTATTATTTTTGTTTGGAAATAATTTGGGTTTGTTCCAGATTCCATTTCTCATAAGTAGTTTTCTTTCATATGAGAGGAACGATGACGAGACCGCCAAACAACGAAAACCTTCCGACAGTAAAACTGGTGGTGGTCGGAGACGGTGGCGTCGGCAAAAGCGCCATCACCATACAATTTTTTCAAAAGCTATTCGTTACCGACTACGATCCCACGATAGAGGACAGCTACCTCCAGCATGTCGAAGTCGATGGGCAATGGTGCATGCTTGATGGTAAGAACTCTATTACAGTCTCTAAACGGTTTTTTTGGTTGAACAAGCCAATTTAATAAAAGGAAGCGATTTCAGTAGTTTGTCATTTTTTGAATCTCCTAAAATTTAGGCCTGTCAGAGCAAAGTCAACAATCTCCCGTCATACTAAAACTGAGTAAATTGAGATATTTGATTTTGGTATTTTATATTCTAGATTTAAGGCAGAAAGACTTCGGTCGATAGCCTTTTGGTTTTTCCAATAAATATATTTACTACTATTCTAGATTTGTAATTTTTTTATAAACTAATCGAATAAAGTTAAGCATATTAATATATTTTGACCAAAACATAAATTTAACGATACAATTTTATACGCCCTGTATATTTTATTTTATTATTTGGCAATAAAAACGTAAAAATGAAAGAATCTTAGACAAAAAAGAACGAAGTCGAAAAAACGCATTATAGGTATCAGTCGGTATCCAGTTTGATTTCAACTTTGTTCAAAAATATGCTTAACTTTTTTCGATCAGTTTATATTATATTGAAATATTGTTGTTGTTAGTCTAGTAGCCAACTACAAGGTCTCCAGGATGCATAGTATAGGTGAAATCTATAATTATAAATTGGAGATTGCTGACTTTGATATAAATTGCTGGAGATTGCTCATTTTGTTGTAAACGTTTAAGGAGATTTAGAAAAATAAACAAAAAAATAATTGAGGAGCGTTTATTCAAAAAGGGACATGTCCATTTTAGCAATTTGCAGAAACAAGTAAAAAATAACAGAATTCTTTTGCTTTTGACTTATTTCTGAAAATCGCTAAAATGGACATGTCCCTTTTTGAATAAACGCTCCTCAATTGTATTTTCTCCCTTTAATGGTTATAAAATTTAACTATACAATCAATGTGGGAAAATTCTGAACTGGACCACATAAATCTGGAGTTTCTTCTAAATCTGGGACCAGGTTGCCTTGAGCAAAAAAATTTGTATAGTACAACAACTCATCATATCCTTTCCACTTTGCCCCATAATGTTTTACTTGCAATGTTTTGACATTATCAGCCTTTTCTTGCTTTACCTTTTCGTCTTATTATGGTATAATAGCACAAAGTAAACAAGATAACTTTTTTTATAATTCTTAAAACAATAAAACGTAGATTTACCTATTTTAAATATATTTTTTAATAGAACTTAACAGTATGTACCAGTAAAAAACCCAAAATTAAATCTCTAAAATACGTTATAACATCAAATGTTGGGTTATCAGGTGACACAAATTACTAATTTCCAATGGTGGAATTGGAGATTGTATACTTTGCTGCAAATTTATCAGTGGAGATTGTCGACTTTGCACTAAATGTCATATTTAAAATAGCAGGATTTAGCTCCTTTTGCAGCACATAAACTTTACCATCTTGTAGATAATTAGTTGAAGTATAGTCTCCGCCAAAAATCTAATTTTTGACCAAAAGTGGAGATTGTGGGTTTTGCTATGACAGCCGCAATTAATATTGTTAATCGTTTCAGTTCTTGACACTGCCGGTCAGGAAGAATTCAGCGCCATGCGCGAACAATATATGAGGAAAGGCGATGGTTTCCTGCTTGTTTATTCGGTAACTGATAAAAATAGCTTTGAAAACATTATACATTTTCACACGCAAATTTTAAGGGTCAAGGATAGGTATATAAAACAAAAACGTCATTGTGGAATTTCACAAAAATTTTATATAATTTCAGGGACACCTACCCTATGTTGTTGGTAGCTAACAAAGTCGATTTGGTGCACTTAAGAAAGGTGACAGAGGAACAAGGCAGAGATTTGGCTCATAAACTGGGCATGCCATACATTGAGACTAGTGCCAAAGATCCTCCATTAAACATTGATGCCACGTTTCACGAGGTAAGTTAACCATTAAGTAGAAACATCGCATAAGATAGGTGGGATTATGTTTTGATTTCAGGTTGTGCGTATAATTAGAAACCAGCCAAACCCAGGTAACGAACGAAGGCGAAAGAAGAAGTTTAAAAAATTGGGTAAATGCTCAATCCTCTGATTTCAAAACTTTATATTTTTAACGCTTAAATATTTTATTATTGGCCTAATAATGATAATGGCTTTATGATGTTATATTATTCAGTGTTTAATGTTATATGTATGGTGCCACAATTTTCGTTCTACACCTTTATGTATTATTATTATTATTTGTGCGGATTTTATTGATACCTACATTTTGCTCAAATGCGAGTTTTATATTTGCCGCACAATTTATTTATACGAGTATTTTTACCAAAATAAAATGACGCCAAAGTATGTATTATTTTATGGACCAAATTTGCTCATATAGAATTAAAGTATTTAAAATATTTTTATTTTTGCCAAATATCGGTCTTACAAACTACAAGTTCTGTTTTTAGCGTAACCAAGGCAGAATATAATGTTACTATAGTGTGATGTGGCTTGTAATACCGTTAAAGTATAGTCAATCCGTCGCAAAAAAAATTTTTTGACAAATTCCACACGATATATATTTATAAAACTTCTTGGGTACGCAGTCCCAAACGGTTCATGCGAAATAACCTTGTTCATTTTTTCCGAAAAATTAGATTGACTAATTGACACCCTTGTAAATGTTGTTAACATTATTGTGATATGATTTTAAACTATAATGCATCGCGACAAATAATTTTAAGTTTTGTTGACGTTAAAGTGCTTGGGTTTATTTGCGATAATGTCAATATTTAGTTTTCCTGGATTGAGGAAACTTCTATTTTGCATTTAGAAAGGTTAAAGTTGATTCTGGCTAACAGATTTAAATTAAATGAATGTGGTAGAAACATAGATTTAGTAGATTCGTTGATATTGACCTTACCTACAATATTTGAACTGTAAACTGTGATTGAAACGATGAAATTATTATTTTACGCACATTTGCCAAAAAATAATGTTGAAAGAAAGTTATTTTTGTTGCTGTTATAAAGGAAAGTCTTGTATGTTCAAGTCGAAATGGTTCTAAGAAATGCAAAATTTTGTATTCGCTATACTTTATAGTTATACACTCGTTGAATTTTATTCTTTTATATATATTTTTAATAATGTGTAGTCAGTTTTTGTCTATGTAATTTATTGAATAAAAAAACTAAATAAAATAAACCACAGGCATTTTTCTTTTTTTAACTGTGTTCACCCCACAAATTTGTAGTAATTGGATTAATTAATTGATGTGTTAATTAAGGTTCAATCTAATTCTAATATTTTATTCAACGTATGTTGCCGTAAATATTTAAGTTCTATGGTCAATATTTAATAATGGACAATATGAGAGAGGGTTGCAATGCGTGCTATAAATTTTAATTTGTCCATTTAAATTCCTCTAAAAGAGGGTAAATATTCCAGTGTTGCCAGACTGAAAATCCTCACCAATATTATATTATAAATGCGAAAGTGTGTTTATTAGTTTGTTATTCTTTCACGACGCAACGGATCGACGTGATTTTTTGCTAATTTTAATCCTAAAAAAGTGCACGGTTCCTGTGGCATAATTTCAATCAATATTACATCCACGTGTAATCTGGGTTGCCTACATTCAGGCAAAACTTTGAATGGAAACGGAATACCAAGCAACCCGATTAGGCTTGAAATTTATATTTTAATTTAACCAAATTTGTTATCAACCCACTTAAATTATTTAAATGGGTAAAAATTATTCATTATTTTATTTTTTCATTTAGTGTAGTGGCCTTTATATTTAAGGTTCACTTGTATTTCTGGGTAAGCCTTGTACACTAATTTAAGTTCAACAAAAAAAACCATTATCAATTAGCCAGTAATTCTCCAATTTAGCGTTCCCCTAACAATAAGCACTTAAAACTCAGGTGGTTATCTACTTCAGAAGCAAGCACTTCAGCATTTAACACAGGTTGAGTTAGGTACCCCCTGAGGGTGCGCGATGACGTCATCGCGTTAATTTGCGACATCCCGCCAATTTAAGTAGGGAAATCTGTGAAAATTCAGTGTATTAGGCAAATTTAATTTTCGACAGACGCAAACGTCCCTTGTTAGGTAGCTATAGTAACGCGCGTCCCGGTGTTTGATAACGTTGTGACTGCTGTTGCCAAATGTATGACGTAGGGAGATTGATGTGCTGCTGCAACTTGATTGAGCGTGGGGTCAATATGCCTGAAAACGTATCTGAGTATTTTTCAAAAAGTTGGAAAAAATAGGAAATTTATTAAAAAAATTATAATTATTATTAATTAGATATATTACATATTATTTCTATAGAATATTAATCAAATATTGAATATTTTATGCTTGTCATACATATGTATGTATCATATGATACGAACTAGATTATATTTTTTTACGAGTTTTCATTGTAGGGAGAATAAATGTTGTCTTTTCCGTGACGCCAAAATAAAGGGAATTACAAATATTAATTTAATTTTTTTATTTACATTTTTTATTATCCTTTATTCGATGATTATTTTCTACTGTTGACATTTAAGATTAATTTGAAAATTTCCTTTAACGATTTTATCTTCATTCTGTGTGTTTAAAATTTTTTCGAAATATAGTTTTTGGGTAATAAAACCAAAATTTCCATGTTTGATGCAAGAACATGTTTCGCGATCTTTAGCTTTAGGATAAACTACTCAGAATGGATTAAAATCATGATACAAAGAAAACTTTGTATCTTTGTATCATGGATTACAATCTAAAGAAATTGGTGAAAGAAACTGATACTCTAGCAAGTGTCACAGAAATGTGTTGTGAATATTATATTGTGTGAAAATGACGTCACGGATTGGACATTTTAAATTAATAATAATAATATTAATAATAACGTTTATTGTCCAACAGATATAAAATCCATTTACAGAACAATTACATACAAGAAATTAAAATAAGTCCTAATATTATTAAAAAAATATATATACAAAAAGAGGTATATTAAGGGACATCAACTAAAATGCTTGTCACCAAAATGTTTTAGGTTCTTTTTTAAACAAAAATTAGTTAATAACTCTATAGAGTTAAATTAAATAAAATATATTATACTTATGACTGGAGAAACAATATTTTTCCAGCAGTCAGTAAACTTTTCTCTGTGTACCTACACAGAGAATAGTAATCTCTTGATTTAAGAAAATGCATTTATTTGAAACAGGTTTTCTTGTATGAAGTAAAATTTTTTTATTCGTAGTAACTTGTTTACAATTAGAAAATATTATTATTTGGTTGTAAATCATAAGTTTCTTGAAAACAACTTATTGTTGTGATTAATTGTAAAGAAATATTTATTTAGAGCATTTAATTAAATTGTTTGGATGTAGGTTTTGTTTCTTAAATAAGCTTCTACTAAACCTGAGATAAAAAGTCAACTAGATATTTACTTGTATAATACAAGTTAATATAAGTTGTATTAACTAAATATCAGTTTAAAAAGTCAAATAAACACAAGTTTTCCACTAAATAAATATCTTCTTGTAGATATCGAAATAAATAAGCATACACTGAGAGAAAGAAATTTTTGTTAATAACGAGGCACGTTAACTATTAACATATTGTAACGTTTTTAACTGTTCGTAGTGTGAATTAAAACACGCACTGGTTAATTAACGAACTAAACTATTTATTTAATAACTTAACTACACTTAAAACACTATAAAACTAACTAAACACTTATACTAACATTTATATCACTACTAGTTTATTTATTTGCACTTATATTTATTTATTTCTTCGCGCGTACCAAAGCTCAACTGACTGCTCTGTGATGCGTCGTTTCTTATATATTCAGCGCCTATGTCTTCTGGAACATTCCAGCGATGACTCATCGGCGATGAGTCATCATTCCGAGATCCAGAGCCGTCCTCGCTACATTGCCCCCGTCTTAAAACATTTTCGTCCCGAAAATGGTCCTCAGCTCCATGGCGATATTTGCATAGAGATCCAAACTTGCATTGTGACGTCCTATAGAAGTAGCAGTCTACGGTCTTCCTTCCGGTTGTTCTTTTAGGGTTGTAGCAACAGACAAGAATGTGTATGCCACTAAATCTGAAGATAACTTCCACCATGCTTCTAATTATTCTCCAGTCTAAACCGTCAAGTCCACAAGCAATCTTCGGTATCGCCAGCTTCATGATGTCCTTGGACAAAAGGGTATCCCTTAATTTATTTAAGGCATTCCATACATCACGGTAGTTTGGCTTCTGATGGGAGAGCTGCTTCGTTATCAGATAGAAGATACTTCTGTTGCCTATCTGCTCATTATTCACAATTTCAAGCACCTCTCCAACTTTGGGATTCTGCCTTCGTAGCTCGTCGATCCGTCCAAACTTGTTTTTAAAAACAACCGCTATTCCCCTGGACATCCTAAGGTCTTCCGCAACACAGTGAGCCAAGGAGTAATCGGCCGAAACCGTGAACAGATCTTTTTGCTCTTCTCGAGTGACACCATACCGAGCTTTTTTACCGCTCGAATATAAATACAAGTCTTCAAAAGGCAAGTCGTCTTCCGGAGGATTAACTCGTCTTACTCTAGCATGGTTTATTTGGTCATCATTGTTTCCAGCGTAAGGAGCCAATCGGTTAAAATGGATCACTTTCGGCTTTCCTCTTGGTTGTTTTCTGATCCTGTAGATGATGTCATTTATGCGATCCATTACTTTGTATGGTCCTTCCCAAGAAGTCTGCAGCTTCGGTGAATAACCACGACGGCGCTGAGGGTTGTATAACCAAACTAGGTCTCCAGGTTGAAATCCTCCATTTTTCGCCTTGATGTCGTATGCCTCTTTCATTCTATCACTGGCACTTTGGATGTTTAAACGAACTCGGCTGTGAATGTCGCTCATTTTGCTACGTAAATTGCTAACGTAATCTTCTCCAGCAACATCTTCCCCTGGTAGGCAACCAAACCTCAGGTCACAAGGTAGACGAAGTTCACGTCCCATAACAATGCTAGCGGGTGTCTGGCCGGTTGTATCATGGATAGAAGAACGGTATGCCAACAGGAACAGAAGGAGGAAGTGGTCCCAGTCTCTTTGGTGATCA